TCAGTATTTCGAAATATTGTAAACCAAAAGTTTGGAATACCTTTCGTGTCTTCAGGAATTTCCCTTACTTTCCTAATTGTAGAAGTAAATTTAATGACACTCAGTGCAACGATATTAGTATAAACTTACTTTATCATATCCTGAAATTCAGGTGACGTTTCTACATCCTCGACGTCTTCCGATTTCCATTGAGGTTTTTGCTCAGTAGGTTCCACATCTCCAGTAACAATTTCTTTCCTACGGTCAAAAAGCGGTTGATATTTCTCTTGATATTTCCGTTCTAGTTTATAAAGTTCTTCGAAGAATTCTGCTTCCAATTTCAAGTGTTCGAGTTGAATGTTTTTCAAAGCAGTTACTCTGTTTTGTATGGGTTTAGGAAGGTTTTTTACCATTTCTTGCAAAAATTGACGCCGGAACAAAGCGCCCATACAACCGAATGGTCTAAAATATATACGGTAAATATCAGTTAAGAAGAAACCAAAGATAATATAGAATAGAAATTTTTAATGTATTTTCAGCAATAGCCACAACTTGAATTGGGTTTCAAGATACTAGACAATAAGAGATTTCAATGTATTGATGTACATGGAATACCCGGTCGTATATCTACATGAAATAGGGTGCATTCCAAAACGTCAAAATACAAAGCATCAGTCTCTTTTATTTCTAAACCATACTAGAAGTCTAACTTGCGCAACCAAGTAGAAAACCAGGATACAAACGTGGTTGCACACATCTGGCATTACAATACATATACCGAGGTTTAGAAATAAGAGCCTTTTTTAGCGTTTTGGAATGCAGCCATAATTTCAGAGTTATACATACATACATACGTATCTAAACGCATAAAATGGAGGAATCAAATAGTGAGCATTCACATTTATCAAATTTCTAAATAATTAAGGATATGCATTTCCGTACATCATTTTGGCGTTTTCAGAGTCCTTTCTTCCATCATCAGATTCGTTGCAGGAATCTACATCAACATTTTTATCAGCTGGTACTTCCATTGCGGCTAAAAGCTAAAATCTGCAAGGCAAATAAAAAAATTAAAATGGAATTTCTATTAAAGGAAACGCAGCAATTGTGTATTTGCATATGCATGTAGTAAATACGCTGTCCAGAATACATACATATGTACGTACTTATTGGAGTTCCTTATTCATTAAAAGCACGTGTTTCAAATTTTTAGTTTATATACATATTATATTATATTATATAGCGCATTATATTACATGCACATCTAAACTATGTGATACACACCTGGATTAACGAAATTTTAAAACACTTGATGTTTTATGATAAATTTAATACTGCGCTTTGAAATTTCAAGAAAAAGCAATTAGTTTTTATTCATACCTTTGCCTTTACAATTCACTACACACACAATTCCAGCTTTTATGTAAACTTTTTGGAAGTGGCAGAGATTAATCGATTATTTTTACCCAAAATTGAAAAGCGAGTTGACCAACTTAAAGATCCTATGCACGCATTGATTTATCGGCGAACCAGTTGGTCAATTGCTAGAAGCTGGTTGTAAAAAAGCCGTGTTTTGGCAAGTTGGTCAACCTCCGTCAAGTTGTTTGTTATTTCATTTTATTTCATTTCGTTCACAAAAATTTATGTATTTTTCATGCTAGACATTCCTGGTTGATTTCTTATTAAAATATGATTTATATTTAAAAAATCACCATGTAAATCCAAATTTAAAACTGTTGGGTTCAAGGCGAATTTATACAAGGTGTTGTTGCAAGATCAGCTGATTTCTTCGCCTTAAATGTATTTTGTTTTTGCTTTTACTGATTTGACAGCACACCCATCAAAAACAAAAACAAAATACATGTAAACTTTGGGGCGAATTGAGATTGGACATAACACCCACAATCCAAATACATGTGGTCGTTGTTGTTGCAATCTAAATTCGCCAGTAACACCACCTGGTATAAATTCGCCTTGGTTGGGTTGTTCACACTTGCCTGGTTATAGACACTCGTGTCTCACTCTGGTATTATCACTATGGTGTCTATTCGCGCAAAATAAAACTGGAGAAATATACAAAAGATATCACGAGAAAAACCGGGTTATCAGCGAATTCGTCAAAATTTAAAGAATACTGTAAATTTCAACTTGAGATACTACAACAAAAGCAACAAATTTTCTCGCAAAGAGAGGTTACTCGGCTGAAGTTGAAGAAATACATTTGTCGACAAAAAGCCTGTAGCTACATTGCGAAACAACCGGTATCGAAGAGACAAGAGAATACCTTAATATGCATTGGTTCAACCGAGATCGCCGCGAACTCGCCAATACGCGGATATCGGCGTACACCTAACCGTCTACTTCTAACAGCTTCAAAACAACGCAAAGCAGAGATCCTAATGGGGCTTTCGCACGAGGCGATTTTTTACGCAACTCTTGCGTTCAACTCACGCAGGGTTGCACGAAAAAAAATTGAACGGCTAAAAATATCAAGATATAAAAAAATATCAAAATATTCACCATAAAAACGCCTTTGCATTGTTCAACTTTGCATTCTACTTTTGGTTGAACGGCCTTTCCACTAATCGCTTTCAACAAAGTTGGTCCCCAGCCAACATTAAGGGCCGGTTGTTCAATGTCTGATTAGCACAAATTGGAGGTAGAAGCTCCGGTTAAGTACAACGACTGCTTTATCGATCACATGTTACATTCATGATGTCGAAATCGTCGATAGTGTAGTGGTAGTGGTAACCAGACATTGAACAACCAGCCCTTAGCAAAAAAGTTGAATGCAAAATCGCCCCGTGCGAATACCTTTTAATGGTTAACGAATTCAAAGCAAAAAAACTTTGTCCCAAATGTTACAACACAAACCTGACGTCCAAATCGCCCCATAGGTACCGATTTTGCTCAAAATATGATACCTGTTGGATTCGAGACGCCTATGCTGGCAAAAACATATTATACCTGGGAGAATCTTTAGTCAATCAACGCGAAAAACACCAAAATTTTTCCAAATAAGATATCATTATTTCATATATGGCGAAAAATATGTACATCTGACTGTGAAAACAGTTTAACTTTAATTACTGTCATACCTACACAAAAGCGTTGGGCGGAGTGGTTTCTGACGCTTAGCGTTAGCGCCAAAGTGCCATACGTAAACAAAAGCGTCAACGCTACGTCAAATGCAGAAATAACACCAACAATAAGCATAAACTATGTTCACATATCTATATTATCTCAATCAAAGCTCGTTTTTTAATCACCCCGTTTACACAGGCAAATCTCAGATTATTAGCCGTCAAATTTGTTGTGCTTGTTATTTTCACATCTCCAGGAAAAGTTATGTTTCTTCTCTGTGCCACCGTGATCACGTTTTTCTGCTATATTAAGCAATATAAATATATTTTAACTTAACATTTTATTAAAAAATACCTTTAAAACCCTCTTTTCCTTGCTAGCGTCCATTTCTGTTTACTTTTACATTTGCCATATCTCCTCTTCTTCGCAAAAACAATCGATAAAACTAGGATGGACACCGAAAAGTTATCGGTTAAATCTGAGATTATTTTATAATTACAGATTAACAAGGGGGAATTTTATATGGCTAATCTCTTTTTCTAATTACAAATTAGGAAGTTAAGCTCGAAAATGAGGATAATCTAATTATATGTGAACTTAGTAATAGGTTTGTTTGTGTGTTCAATACCTAACGCATTGTCAAAATAGGATTTTCGGTATACTTCATACAAATTCTATGGGTATGAGAATTTTTCGACAACCAGACAACGCTGACGCTTTTGTTTAGTTATGGCAGTTCGTTAGTAAAACAGGTGCCTCCGAATATTTATTATATATTATATATTATCGCGACTTCAAAACATTCATCAAAATGTGGTGTAGTTTTGTAATTAACCCCGCGTCTCGATTTAGGATCAGCCATCTCATGCCAACTGTAAATTTGATTCTGCAGCTTATGTATTTCGTAGCCTCTGGAGTTTCACCATGAATCGTGAAATTGTCCAGTTTCTTGATTTTCTACATTCTTTGGTATTAAGTTTCGGTTAGCTTATTTCACCATTTCATTGCACTAAACTGTTTTTCTTGTCCTTCCGCGTAAAGTTAGAGGCACGGAACGAGATCAGTAACATGATCAAAGAACATACAAATTAAAATGCTTGCACATAATCATACATTCGTACATTTATGAATGTACATAGATATATATAGATTAAAATTTTTGTACATACATATGTATGTATAACTAGTATCCCCCAGTTGTCGAAATTCGACATTTTTTCATACACTTTTAAATTGAAGGTGTAAAACAAAATATAATATTTCCTTCTCTAGCGGCGGTTTTACACGGGGTTTTGTCAAGATTGGACCTAAAGCCCAATATTTTTGCATCACATGATTGGGCTACCGAAGTGCACCAAATTTTATGTTGCTATTATGTGTTCTAAAGATGAAGAAAATCTTACCATACATTTTAAGGATAGCTCTAAATTAGAGATGGGCCCGGAATATTGGGACCCACGGTACTGATTCAAGATGGGCGGTATCAGGAAGGTCTGTAAAAATTTAACGGACGGAACGGGATCAAAATCCTTTCCCGATACTGCCGATTAAACCGCAACTTCCGCAAATTCAGAAAATCTTCCTTAAACAATTTTTACAAAATATGCACTTTTTATGTTTTATTGAAACGAAAACGAACAGCAAAGCAAAACAAAATAATTGGAGGATGCCAGATCTTTCATAATTTTTTTTTTTTTTTATTTAAAGTTAATTTGAAAGACATGTGAATTTTTTCAGAGATAGATTTCGTGGCCTCCGGGCCCGCGGTACAATTCTGAAAAACCTCGGGATGAGCGGGTCCGTAAGATAAAAATTGAATTACGGGATGGGCGGGATTTGGGACTTAATATTTAGTCCCATGCCCATCTCTACTCTCAATCCCTGCGCCACCTAACGGACGACAAACACACTGATCCTTTCAAAAATCATTACACAAAATAACAATCATTCAATGCGATTTAGAGATCTGGTAGGTAATGATTCCCAATTGAATGATTTTTGCCATTTTAAATGTATATAGATGTAGGTCCGCTGTGGTATGATTACGTATGCTTTTTATTTATGCTGTGCATACATATCTGTGTTCGTATGGTAGCTTATGTCGAGAAGCTATCTTTAGTATAATGTGGCATTCCCTTTATCCTTTAAACGTAAAGGAATTTTTTGATAAGACTTAATAAGAATATTGACTTGCTAGTATTTGACTTGCTAGTATCGGGACTATTACTACGTTTATACGCACGTATTATTTGCAAATAACAATTTGCAAAATGGTAAAATTTGCCTTATAAACGATGAGTTAATTTTTTATTTGCAAATAACTAAATCACGCAAATAAGTATTGATTAGTGGTACTATTTGCAAACAAGCGCAAGACGCCGCCATTCTTAGGTTTATTTTCTTTTTCGATGGTCAACTTATTGCCTTTTTATAATCAAGACGTTGCCATTTTTAACTTTATTCTCTTTTTCAATGGTCATATTATTGCCTTTTTATAATCAGGCAATATTAAACAAGAATTTTTCACCATCGAATAAACAGTGAGTTAGGTATTTGCAAATAGCTTACGTATAAACGTAGTATATTTCTCGGACGTTTATTTGCCAAAAGTTCTTCAACGGTTCGGCGCCATTGAGTAATTCGCAATCTTATGCTGCTTAAGCTACTATTCCATATGAACACAGCCATGAATGTGTGCACACTCCATGAACGAAAGACACAAGATCACGTAAGAACAAGAGAGTGAAAAAAGTCGATTTTTTAGCGGGTTCTACGCCATCTTGTTTCACTGGAAAACGAGCGAAAAGAAAACAAAGCAAAGAGAACAACGAAAACCAAAATTAGCCAAAATTATTGTCAGCCACTTTAAACGCACAATTTAGGTAAAATGATGCAACAAAATGCTTTGAAATGTGTTGTCATGTTGAATTAACTCTTCTTTACTTGAATAAAAGTGTAAAATAGTGGTGCTTGTGATGTAAACAAACGCTCAGCTGACGTACCCGCTTTCGGAAACTTTTTTCTCAAAACCAGTTACAAATACAACGTCGCGTTCTTACGTGATCTTGTGTCTTTCGTTCATGCGGGTTCTACGCCCGCATGCAATAATACAAGGTGTTATCAGTTGGCAACTTCTCGCTCTAATTCCGCCATATTGACTACCTTACGTGAAACAGTGTTACTTCTTTCACTATTCTTTGCCCAATAATATAGTTGAATGCTTTTTATTTTTTTTCAGTATACACACTTTGTTTTCTTAAAAAGGTATTTTATCTTATTTTATTTTATTTCATAACGAATACACTATAAAAAAGCAAATTTTGTTAAGGAGAAAATGTGATATTTTATATTTTTCCCC